CATACACTCGCCACACACATACCATACACATACTCACCGACACACACCACATGCAAACTCACACATACCACACTGCACACACATATACCACACACACAGAGACATACACTCACAGACACACACACCACACATATCACATACACCACACAGTTGCACACTAAACACACACACGCTCACATAACCTCACGCTACACACACAACACACACATTCACATATACCACATACACTCACCACACACATACCACACACACTTACGGCACACACACTTGCACACCACTTACAATACATTCACACACCACACACAGAGACCCATACCACATGAAAACTCATACACACCACACCATACACACTTATACAYACCACACACACAGAGACATACACTCACAGACACACACACCATATATATCACACACCACACACAATACATTCACACACCACACACTCACACATCACACACACCACACACTCGACACATGCATATACGACACATACACTCACACACCACACAAGCACTCACTACACTATACACACCATATACCACACACAGAACACGCCACACACACCACACACACTTTCACCCATAACACACACACACCCACCCACCCACACACACACACACACACGGGGTCTGGTCACCAGGCAGGCCTCATGTCTCCTCCACCAGACACAGTATACCAGGGGCTCTCGAGTGCTGGCTGGAAGATTCTAGAAGGCAGGTTTCTCTCTGCCCTGGGAAGATTTTGGGGTGACTCTGGGCCAGCAGCTGGGTCTCTCACAGATACACCACACATACACACACCATACCACACACACACACCACTCACACGGACACACACATGTGACCTGCCACGTGCCTGTGATGGCTCAGCGTTTGGCTTGGAGTGGGCAGAGCTAAGCTGGGACCCACCTCTGCACCCGTGCCCCAAGTCAGCCCGGTGACCTGGGCACTGCTGCACTCCCTGGGTCTGGTGTCTCCTCCACAAAGGAGAATGTCATGGGGCTGTGGTGAGCAGTGACACAGATGACGCCTAGAGCCCTTGCGTCATTGCCTGATGGTGGTGATGATGGTGATGGTGGTGGTGGTGGTGATGGTGGTGGTGGTGGTGATGGTGGTGATGGTGGTGATGGAAATGGTGATGCCAATGGTGGTGACGGTGATGGTGGTGGTGGTGGTGGTGATGGTGGTGATGGAAATGGTGATGCCAATGGTGATGATGGTGATGATGGTGGTGATGGTGATGGTGGTGGTGGTGATGATGGTGATGATGATGATGGAAATGGTGATGCCAATGGTGGTGAAGTGATGGTGGTGGTGGTGGTGGTGGTGGTGGTGGTGGTGATGGTGATGATGGTGGTGGTGGTGGTGATGGTGAAGTTGATGGTGATGGTGGTGGTGGTGACAGTGATTGTGATGGTGATGGTGGTGATGGTGATGATGATTGTGGTGGTGGTGTGATGGTGGTGACGGTGATGGTGGTGGTGATGATGGTGATGGTGGTGGTGGTGGTGGTGATGGTGGTGGTGGTGGTGGTGACAGTGATGGTGATGATGGTGATGGTGGTGATGGTGGTGGTGGTGACAGTTATGGTGGTGGTGACAGTGATGGTGGTGAAGTTGATGGTGATGGTGGTGGTGGTGACGGTGATTGTGATGGTGATGGTGGTGATGGTGATGATGACTGTGGTGGTGGTGTGATGGTGGTGACGGTGATGGTGGTGATGGAGATATAGTGACAGCACTGGTGGTGACATGGTGATGGTGGTGGTGATGATAGTGAYGGTGGTGATGATGGTGATGACAGTGACGGGAGATGGTGGTGATGATAATGGTGATGGTGGTGACATGGTGGTGACAGAGGGGATGGTGGTGGCAGTAGTGGCAGAGGGAGGTCTGGGGTATTGGCCCTGGGTGGCTCAGCTGGGCTCTGCGTGCTCAGGCTCCTGCCTTCCTGGGTTCCAGAGCGCCTTCTCCCCATGTCACATGGCCTCTGCACAAGGCCTGCCGGAGCGAGCAGGGGACATGGCAGTGGAGGTGACAGACGGCAGCCCCTGCTCTCTCCCAGCCTTATTTCAGGGTGGGGAGGCCGACACCAGGTAACAGACATAAACGAGTGCTGTGTGGTTGCTTGATGGCGATGAGCAAGTCTCTCTGCACTTCACCTCAGGAGAGAGGACCTGAGGCCCAGGAGGCCAGCACTCAGGAGTGTGTGTGTTCCTGGCCCAGGGGCCTCTGTCCTGCCCCTGTCGTGGAGGCCAGTGCGGTGGCCACCACTGCTTGGTGGGCCCATGGGGGACAGAGCGTCAGGGTGGGACCCACCAAGAGGCAGGGGACTCTGGGATGTGGGGGCCGCTCTGACTCTGGGGTCCGATGGACCTGATTTTGATCCATTGACACTGTCACCTAAAATGAGCCTTTGTGTCTCCGCGAGGCTCTGTCTGCAGACAGGGGGGAGCCAAGTGGGGTCCCAGGAGCCGGTGCCGCTGTAGGAAGATGCAGGTGGTGCTGGGCTGGGGCTGCCACTGGGGCCCCACGAGGCCAGGTGTCCACCCAGGCCAGCTGGCCTGCAGCTCCTGGTCCTCCCTGCTCTACCCCTGCCCCTCCACAAGCTCCCTTCAGCCCCCAGAGGGTGGTTAAAAACACAGCCCTGGGCCCCCCACTCTCCTGCCTCAAACCCGTGACTTCCCTTGCGCTTGAGAGCCTCCTCTGTGGGTTTGCATGGTGGGCCGCCAGACCCTCCAGCCCACCCCCTTTCCTGCCTCAGGCTCAGCCACGCTGGCTGCATTTCTGTTTCTCAAGTGCTCTGAGCTGGCTCCAGTCTCCTGGCCTTTGCATGTGCTGTTCCTTCCACCTGAAGTGCCCTTCCCGCAGAGCACCCATGGCGGGGACCTGGTTCTCGTTTTCCCTTAAAGTCTCTTCCTTTAGAGAGGGCGAGGTGATTCCGACTCCTTCCCACTTTTCTCCCTTGTTAGTTTATTTCTCATTGTTCATTTCTTCAAAAATACTTACTGAGCACCTAGTATGCTCCAGGCACCAGTCCAGGTGCTGGGGGACATGGCAGCGAAGCTGACAGACCGCAGTCCCTGCTCTCTCCCAGCCTTATTTCAGGGTGGGGAGGCCGACACCAGGTAACAGAGACCAAAGCAAGCCTTGCGTGGTTGGCTCGATGGCGATAAGAGCTACGGAAAACCAGAGAGAGGGGTGGGACCGCGGGGTCTGGCTGCTTCTCTGGAGCCTGGGCTGACTGGGGGCTGGTGCCAAGTCTGGCTTGTTCACCAGCAGAACCTGCACACAGTAGGTGCACAGGAAATACTTTTTGGACAGATGAATGATCCAGCAGGGCCCAGGAGAGCAGGACACAGAGGCGGGAGGCCACCTGTTTCAGCAGGAGGGATGGAGCGAGGAGGCAGCCCACCCTTGGGATGGAAGAGGCCCAGTCTGGCCAGAGTGAGAGGCCCGTGGGGGAAGTGGAGGGCTCTGAGGGAGGATGTCACTCTGCCCCGGTGGTTGACATGTGGCTGACCGAGCTGCCTGGGAGCTTATGTAAGGCCCCTGGCTGTTTGTCTGGAGCCAAGAGTGAAGCCCTGAGCTCAGGAGACAGACGGCAGCCCCTGCTCTCTGCCTCCCTGACCAGCCAGGCGGAGTGGCAGGAAGTGCCAGCTCCCTGCCCATTGCCCCTGGGATCCAAGTGTCCAGACGCATCAGCTGCAGGGGCTCAGTGGTAGCCTGCAGCTGCCGGGAGTGCAGGGTGGGGGGCAGGTCGTGGGGCCTCTTTGCTCACTCTCTCTGCCCAGCCGGGCACTGCCAGGGCTCTGGAGCCCCGGGGACCCTGGAGGACAAGGTTTTAGGGCCTGGTAACCTCCTGAGTGAGGTGTTAAGGGGCAGTCCTGGAGAAGCTGTCCCTTCCCCCAGTCATGCAAACCCGGCCAGGCCCCTGGGAGCTGTCACCAAGTGGGTCTGGAGGGCTGGCGCTGGGTCCTGGGCTCTCACACCGCCTCCCTCTGTGTCCGGCTCAGTGTGGCCTTGGAAGCCACTCTCTTCTCTGAGCCTTGGATTCCCCACCTGCCCGATGAGCACAATGACCTCCTGAGGTGGCCGGGAGGGTCAGAGGAGCCCAGGTGGCAGAGGCTGGCTTGGTCAGACCAGCTGTGTGGTTGGCCAGGCCCAGCACCAGGTGACTGCGTGCCGTGCCTCAATGAGCAGTGACCATTTCAAGTTGGTAATGTTACAGCAAGTACAGCTGCCTAGGTCACAGACCTGGGACACCACCCCTGACTGGAGTGTCAGTCCTGTCCCCTCCCGGCCTCCTTACGGTCGATCTCCATCCGTAAACCAGAGCGGTTGGTCTAGACTGTCCTCGGTTCTCAGCCTTGTGAGGCAGTGGAGGGTCCCCGGGTCTCGGGCTCCCTGCAGGTCTCCCTGAGGTGCCCCTTYCTTGGGGAGCCGCCCCGGAGTCCCTCCTGGCCTGCTGGGGTCCCCCCAGTGTCTGATGCCACAACTCCCGGCTGCTCCTTTGTAGCACAGTTGTCCTGGCGTCATGTCCACGTTTACAATGATTCCCTCCTTTTTCTTGCAAATTCCCTTTCCTCTCCAGGCTGCGATAAGTGCACCACTCTCGTCTTTTATTTTTATTTGCAGTTTGGTGCTGGGGTTGGAACCAGGGCTCTGTGCTAAACACACACCCCACCACCCAGCCACACGCGAGTCCTGGCTGGGGGGCAGCTTGGGGTAGAGCTCTTGCCAGCATGTGCGAGGCCCTGGGTTCTGTCCTCGGCATGGGGGCAGGAGGGCGCTGGAAGGAAGACTCAGGCCTGGCATGTGACCAGACATGCCCTGGGACCGCCCAGCGGTCCACTCTTCCCTCATCCTCACAGCCGGAGTGAGGGCCTGAGCGGGGCTGAGCAGTGTCCCCTCCTGGGGGAGGCAGCTGGGGGCGGGTGCCAGGCCTGCCCCCCACGGGCCACCCTCTCTGCTCCCCCAGGGCACACCCCTCAGCGCTGACATGGCTGAGAGCACCCCGCCAGCCTCCTCCTCGGCAGCAGCTCCAGCCCCTGAGCTGGGAATAACCGCGCAGCCGGGGCCCCAGAGCCCCCCGCCGTCCCCTCCCGGCCTGGAGGAGCCCCTGGATGGAGCCGATCCTGAAGTCCCCCACCCGGACCTGGCGCCAGTGGCCTTCTTCTGCCTGCGACAGACCACCAGTCCCCGGAACTGGTGCATCAAGATGGTGTGCAACCCATATCCTTTGCAGGCTGTGGCACCTGCCCCGGGGCCAAGGGTGGGGACAGGGAGGTCAGAGAGTCCTTTCCAGTGAGCCCGCCCACCCAAGTCCTCGCCCTCACTAGAAGGTGAGGCCTGGGCTAGCCAGGGGCCTCGGTGGTGGCAGGCGGGCGCAGACGGTCGGCAGGGAGGCTCTGGGCTTGGGCTTGGACAGATGAGGACCTGGGGTCTTGCTGACAGGAAGGTTCTGGAAGTTGCCGGTGGCTCAGCCAGTGCTTTGTGTGAGGGGCTGGGGACGCAGATCCGTCAGAGCCTGGCCCAGCTCCTGGCCTTGAGCCATCCGTGGTGGGTGGTGACCACAGAGATGGCGGGAGCTGTGACCAGGGCTCCTGAGGGTGGGCTGGGGACAATGGATCCCCTGGCGAGTCCCCTGCTGCGCCTCTGTGAACTCCTGCCACTCCTGGCTTGAGACCTGTCCTCAGGGCTCTGTGCTGCRGAGCTGGACGGTCGGAGTGAGATTCAGCGCTTACTGTTCTGGGTCTGGGGAGTCTGAGGCCGAGGGACTGGCACAAGGCCTTGGTGCCTCGTCATCCTCGGGCAGCAGAGAGCGAGGGGGACCCGGCCTGCCTTGTRACGACCCGCTCTCGCGATGACCAGCCAACTCCCCGGGCAGTGGCACTGCCCACCCGTGAGGCCAGAGCCCTCTCTTGCAGGTTCCCCTCTTTGAGGTCCCACCTTTCAGCTCTGCTGCGTTGGGGATTAAATTTCCAACCCATGAGTTTTGGGGACACATTAAGACCCCCACCCCCAGTTCCCACTCCCGTGGCCCGAGCACAGTCCTAGCCCTCCTGCCAGGCCCTGTGCCTGCCCATGGGCCTTGCTCTCTCCACTCTGCTCCCCTTGGGTCCTCGGGGCCTCAGAGCCTTCCCGAGTGCTCTTCCCTGGCCTGAGATGCTTTTCCTGCCCCTCCTCGCTTGGCCAGCACCCTKCAACTTGGAGCTTCAGTGTCACCTCCTCCGGGAGGCCCTCAGGGATTCCCCTCGGGCCTCCGTGGTGTCAGCTAGCTCTGGAACGCAGCATCCTCCTCCTGGGTGGTGCCAGATGGCGGGCAGGGACGGAACCCTCTTGTCCACCGCTGGACACTTTGGGGCCTGGCACATGGTGGTGTCCTCCGTGTGCTCTCTGGGTGCGTGGACGGAGTCGGAGCTGGGCCTCGCTGAGAGGGAGGGGCCAGGTGGGGAGGGGGTGCTGTGGCGGTGGCACCCCTGCTGGAGAGGGAGGTGGCGGAGGGCGGGGGGCCCTGGCAGCCGCAGGAGGCGCCACCTGGGCCCTGAGAGCAGCGGGGGCTGCGGGCAGTTTGCGCTGGGACCTGAGCTTGGGTGTGGGGCTTGAGACAGGGGCTGTTGGTGGCCTCCTGCTGGTGCTGGAGGCCACCCAGGGAAGGTAGGCTGCAGGGTGAGCCCTGCGCTAGGCTCGGGATGCCCGGGAGGCAGGCGGGTGTCGAGGCTGATCCCGGAAAGGAGGCCGCTGTGCCCCGTCTGCCCAGGTCTGCCAGCCTCCCTGTCCACAGGGGCGGAGGTGATGGTGGGCCCTGGGCCCCCAGCTCCTGGAGGCCAGAGGGTCCACTGTCAGGGAGAGGAATGCAGAGTGGGTGACGGTGGCTCTTGGGGCCACAGGCCTCGACGCTCCCTGGGGACGGTCAGGGGTCTCGGACACGGTGAGGCCTGGCAGGGCTCAGCTGGGGCTTCGAGGTCCAGGCTGCCTGGGCCATCCCAGGATCTCTTGGCCCCTGGGCACTAAGTATTAGTCCACCAGTCCCTGGGGACTCAGAGGACAAAGAACCGTGTCCCAGGGACTCCTGGGAGTGACAGAGGCAGGTGCCACCCATGTGAGAGGTTTTACTACAAAGTGTTGGGGAGACTGGGGGCGTAGAGCATAAGCAGGGGTCGGCCAGGCAGAGGAGGGGTGACTGCAGCGGGTTTGGGCCTTCAAGGAAGAGAAGGCTGGTTGGAGGACCAGGGAGATGGTGGGACAATGTCACAGTGGCCAGGGCTGGGCAGGATGACAAGAGTGGATTTCGACTGTGCCCCTTGGGTGCTGTGTGGCCTTGAGTATGTCTTCACCTCTCTGGTCAGGATGATTATACTGCTGTGGGCTATAGATGGCCTTGGCCTGGGAGTCTGACTGCAGGGCTGGAGCAGCACAGAGCTGGCCCAAGTGGCCCAAGTGGCCCCTCGAGGTGCGTTGGTCGAGTTCTGTGTGCCGTGTGTGGCTTTGGGCAGGGCCCTCTCTCTGAGCCCTGGCCTCTCTGCCTACGATGGAGGGGCCAGACGAGGTGCCCTCTTCTTGCTGTGGGAGCCTGGGGCCAGCCATGCTCACAAGGAGGATGTGCCCTTGACCTCAGGCAGCCTGGCCCGCCCACGGCCATCCCTGGTTTTCTACCTTTCTGACCTCCTGGGCCAACAGAGCCTTTAGGTCACTCTCCCTATCTCCTCTACCCTCTGAGCCAGGCGGAGGAGGGTGACTGGGGTTGGGGACCACAAAGGGACTGCCCTGGAAGGGGGAAGGGAGGGGTGCCCCAGAATCCTCACAGTCAGAGGCTGCTGGCCCCCTGGGCTGGAGGATGGAGGTAGCTCAGGACTCAACCAGAACTTCAACCAGGGAAGTGGGCATCCCCAAGTGCCCGCGTGGGAGGGCATCAGGGCAGGCTCAGCTGGGGCTTCTGGGTGACTCGCTGTGGTAGTAATTTGAGGCCCATCCCAGGGTGTCTCTTGGCCCCTGGGCACTAAGTATTTGTACTGTCCTCAGTCATATGACCACCGACAGGTCACATGTCCAGACCCTGCAGAGGAAGCTCTACTCCCGCTGAGGCCAAGCCCAGAGGAACGGCAGACATGGGGCAAGAGACCAGCAGTGGACACCTCCCTGGATCCTAGGTCGGGGTCGGGGACAGGGCAGTGGGGCATCCGCCCCCACAGCTGATCCTGAGCTTGTGTCCCTGGTGCTCATGGGCCTGGCCCAGGGCCAGCTGCCCTTTGAAGCTTGGTGCTTCCTGACTCAGCTCCTTGCTCGGCCCGAGCTGGGCCCTGAGTCACCACCTGACTCACGGGAGCTGGCAGGCCACTAGGAGCCTCCGAGCTTGCAAGCCGGGAGGGAAAGGTTCACTCGCCCAAATGTCAGCACCACTCCCTGCCCGGCCTGGGCCTTGGCTTGTGCCATCGGCTGGGGGTTCAGCTGGGAGGCCCCCGGGTTTGAAATGCCAGGGGCTAGACAGCACAGTCTGACTCACGGCAGGTGGCGTGTGGCACTGTGAAAAGTGCTGGGCACTCGAGTCAGACAGACCCGGGGGCCGGTTCTGCTTCTGGTTGCTCTGTGACCCTGGGTTAGTTTCTTCACCTCTCTGAGTCCCAGTTTCCCTGCCTGTCCACTGAGGACGGTCTCCGGGCCTGCACGGAAGACTGAAGCAGTATGAGGGGACTGTGACCACGGAGCTTGGTAGATGAGACAAGCAGCGCCTACATGTGGCTTTCACTGTCGGGAGAGCCCGAGGGGGATCAGCGTCCTCACGCGCTGCTGAGTAGACACTCTGCTGGGGTAGATTCAATAAGACTCTGGGCGACAGGGACCCAACACCTTCCAAGGACATCGTCTCCAAGGAAAATCGGATTCGACCTGTTATCTAGGGGAATTGGTGGGAGCTTGGCTGCTGGTGCTGGCCGGTCAGTGCGGACATTGCTAATCGATCCTGGCACCTGCAGCGGGCGGCCCTGGCAGCCAGGACTGACCAGCTAGGACCCATTTCCCACCCTCCCTTAGATCTCGGGGCCTTTCTCAGGAGCAGAACCAGCTGCAGTTCCGTGTGGTCTCCGGGAGCCTCCGTTTCAGGGTCAGCGGGAGGCTGAGGAGGCTGACCTGACCTTAGACGGGGGCTTTGCCTGCACCGTCCCTTTTAGCCCCCGCGGTCCCCCCCCCGGGACCTCACCCCATTTTACACCTGAGAGAAGTGAGGCTCCGAGAGGTTGCACTGCCAGGATGTGATGGGGTCCCCAGGCCCCCAGCGTGCATGTGCCGGGGTCTGTCCCTGGGGTTCGCAGTCCCCCGACCCCGCACTGCTGGGCCGGCCTCCTGAGTGACAGCGCTGCAGAGCTCTGCTGCAGCGAGCCGGCCAGGCGTGGTGGGGACGCCAGCCAGCTGTGACACCTCCTCCTGCTCTGACCAGCTGACTAGGGAGGGTGCAGCCTGGGCCGGACGCGGGAGCCCCGCTGCCCAGTGACCTTGGCCAAGTCACTGCCCCTGGTGCCTGGGCTCCCGGCCTGCAGAGGGGCCCAGCGGCTGCGAGGTCTGAGAGGGTCGGGTCCCCCTGCCGTCCTCCTGGGGCCGTGGTCCACAGGCTGGTGGCCGAGAACCCTGCCTCGGACTCGCTGACCTGGCCCATCTCTGGGAGGGGCAGGGGCAGGGCCCATGGCGTGTTCAGGGCCTCGGGAGCCAAGTCTCGCGTCCCAAGCAGCTGGGGGGTTGCGCAGGGACGAGGGCCCCATCCACCTCAGCACCACTGAGTCTTTGTCCCTGTGTGATGTACTGTGGCCGGGACGTTGCTCTGGCTCCTGGGAGGGAGGACACCTGGGTGACCATCATGAGATGGCTCTGGGGTCATGGTGAGGAGTGAGGGGGCCCAGGGTGGGACTGGACAGGTATGGCGGCCCTCGGGGCCGGCAGGGAGGAGGGGACCCTGACTCTGGGGCTGCCCCAGGGTGTGCCCCTGTTGCCGAGGGAGTGGAGACCCGTGCTGGAGTGGAGGCCCTGGCCCTCCTGAGCCTCTGCTTCTGTGAATTGGGGCCACAGGGACCCTGGTTGGGAACACTGGGGTCAAACGAGGGCTCCAGGGTGRGCACCGGGCAGACTCAGCGCTGGCGGCTCCTCTGTGCACCTTGGAGCTGATGGTGGAGCCGTGGGTCCCAAGGCACGTGGGCAGCTGGGCCCTGTGTCCCTGGCAATGGCCCGAGAACGTGCTGTCCCC